GTGTGTGTGTGTGTGTGTGTGTGTGTGCGCGCGCGCATGTGTGTATGTGTGTGTGTGTGTGTGTGTGTGTGTGTTGCAGCCTATCACTGACTGCAAAGCATCACATCTAATAGATGCTCATGAGTTTCTGGGCACCTGAAGTAGGCCCCAAAAAGGACAAGCCTCTGAGATGAGCAATTAAAAACCCAAATTTCTTAAGGTTTCAGCTTTGTGGTTCCCAAATAGTTATAGTTGCCTCTCCTGAAAAGAATCTCATTATTCCACAATAGCAACTTTTCTTTTCTGATTTTCTGTAGAAAGCAGGTGATCATTTCTAAGCACCTCCACCCAAGGTCTTCATCTGAAACCCTAAGCATGTCTGTAATTGAGATTTGTGTTCTTTAGGGATAGAAGTATCAACAAAGATACAGCCAGCTTCTTGTGCAAAAAACTTTCATACTCTGAATATCTGGAATATCCATACTTGGAAAATCCATGTGTTTTACTATATATATATTTACTATATATATCTTAATTAAAAACAAATTCTAATTACGAGGCATCTGCCCTTACTTAACTATAAATAACAAGGTTTTCCATGCAAATACACCCTATTCCATAAACAAAGCAGCAAAGACACAAATATCTTTCTTGTGTAATACTGTGTTATTTTTCTGTGTCTTCCATTCAATTAAATACAAGACTTTTGGACAGTCTGGATGGACAAAATGAAAAATTTAAAAGAAAGTGATATAGTACAAGGGATGAGGAAGGTATTTCCTGAAAAGCCGCATGAACATCAGGGGTCATCTGCTCATCAGCAGCCTGGACAGCAGGCCTCTTGTCCTTCCTCAGCATGGGGTGCAAACAGCAGAAGTGGTTTCCATGCATCCCAGACGGGTGGACACGAAAGGAAAAGTCCTCAATCTAGCTTAGTCCAAGCACTTAGCAGCTATGCTACACCAGTAAAAGATTCTTGCCAGCAAAGACACTCACCTCAAGGGACAAATGACATCATTCAGGAATTACTAAACATTTGAGCAATTTGAGATTTTATTGGAAAAATAGCTATTTTAACATTATATCCAGTTGTCATTTATTAGAATAAACTCTTTACAACATTGATCACTTCTGGGTATTTATACATTCTCCTGAGTAAAATATATTCATATTAGGCAAGACTAGAATATTGGAATGATGGTTAGCATTGCTAGAGTGTTTATTTTATAATGAAAGTATAGTATTTGTACAATAGAAAAAATGTTTAAAATATTTAGTATTGATGAGATAGGCTTGGTGAAACCAAACCAATATGCACACTTATATATTTCTTGTTTTCATTACTGTCAATCCAACAGGTTAGTTACAAACACCTCAAATTCCCACTTCAAGATAGAAAACAGAAAGACATTATTTTCCATTTTATAAAATAATTTTTAAAATGAGTTGCAAAAGGAATAAAGCTCATCTTTATGCATTTAACCTAAAAGCTAGAGTATACCGCTCTTCTCCAAGAGATGGATATCAGCAATTCAGGAGCAGCCAATAGTCCAAAGAATGAATGGCCACAGTCTCCATGTTGCATGACGAGCTGGGGACTGATGCGAACTCTGGCAAGTGAGGTTTTGTGATTTCCAAGGATCTGGGATGTGTAACCCAAATGATTAAAAGGTATTTCTTTAAATTTGCAAGAGGGAAACCAAGGAGTCAGAACAGATCTAACTGGTTTTTGTGGCTAGATGTTCACCATTACACCACAGCTCAAAGCCCAAAAGCAAACTTCCTTTTAAATATACATCCAAAGCATGGAATTCCAATCAGGCAACTGTACACTTAACAATAAATGATGAAAAACATCCTTATGCTTCATTAGTGACCTGATTTCATACTTTGAAGTGAAAAAAAGAAGATATATTTTGTTAACTCAAATTTGGAGGCCAAGTAAAGTTTGCATTTTTTAGGATGCAGAATCTGCTGAAAATCTAATGAAGATTATCATCCCACTTCCTAAATTGTTCCTTAAACTGTCTTCAGTAAAAGAATAAAACCTGAAAATATTAAACTTCTTTTGCTGTGTCACTGAAGCAACTGTAAACTTTTATATACATGAGAAACTCCACTGTCTTTCTGTGTACTTATAAAGCACAGAAAAGCTTTGGAAAAATGTCCTGGAATTACAAGTTTGATATCCCTGTCTCGTGGACACCTAAGAACTGTTTTGTCCTTTGAAGACACCAGTTTAGATGCTGTACAGATGTTCCAGACTGATGAAGTTCTAGGGCAGGGCATGGACTGACAACCTCTCTGCAGCAACAACCACCCCTCTTCTCCACTCTAGGGTCCAAGGCAGATCTGACCTATCCCTTCATATTTTATCATCATCACTAGAGGGGCGCCCCAGAATAAGAAACCTTCTCAATGAACACAAACAAAAATATTTCAGAGCAACACTTTCCTAAGTGTATTTTGCAGAACACATAGTACTGTACTTAAAAAAAATCCATATTAAAATAAATTAGTGTATAAAATAGAGGTTCTGAATGGAAACTAAACCTCCCTGGGAAATACATTACTCAATTTGTACACACACACACACACACACACACACACACACAATCCTTGTATAGACTGCCTTTAATAATCAAACAAAACTTGAAAATCTCCAAAGCTTAGAGATTGAAAATACATGTGTTAGTATAGCTAAAGTTCTGAAAAACCTATAGTTTCACTTTGCCTAACCCAGCATTTTTCAAATTTGTTAGGTCACAGACCCCTCAACTCACATAATACATTCTGCCAAAATACTTTGGAACTGCTTTGCTGGTAAACTAGAGTGGTGGTTTTAAAAAAATCTTACAGTACAATTTTAAATTAATAATGAAAACACAAAAACTGTCTTTTTTAAAAAAAGAAAACTAGTTTATTTTGTTTTGAAAAATTTTCTATTACAGCATTCCCCTTTCAGAAAGATTTGATCTGAAGTTATGCTTTTATTATATCATTTGTCAAGAATGTTAACTCCTATCAGTAATCCATGGCACACTTTATTTAAAAAAAATAATTCGTTATATCCTTTTTAATTCCTAGAGCACTTCCTCTACCTCAATCACAAAAATCTTAAATCCAGGGCAGGGAAACTGGTTCCTAGCAATCACTACGTCCCAACAATAGTTTCTAGGCTACATTATTTTGCAATCCCATAGAAACAAAAACAAAACATAAAACAAAAATCCTTCATCCTTACATCTCTCTGAAAATTAGTATTTTGAATATCTAAATGAAGCTTTAATTAAATCTTAAATAGGACTGCTAATATTTTATTTCATGTAACAATAAAATTTTAAAAAATGAAAAAAAGACAAAAATAATTCTTACCACCAAGAACAGATAGATACGACATCATCACAACCCAAATTATCTCTGTTGCTATGTTCAGAATTTCAATTATAAAAATAATCAAACCAAGACAAAGTCAATTACTAACTCCCCTGAGCTTAAAATATGATCAGAGACATACCTTCTTTAAAAAGTGCTTTTAGTGAATATCTTGACATACTGTGCATCTAGATTACAAACACAAAGCAAAGAAGAAATACCACATGAAGAGATGGAAGCATTTCTTTCAAATGTGAAAATAGATACCATAAGGAAAAATATAGTTAGAAATATAAAATCATAGCCTTTGATATCTCAAGGAAAAGGAATTCTGGAATTTAGGTTTTTTTATTTTGTAGTAAGGCAAAGTAAATCTTTTGAGAAGCATTTGTAGAGAAGCATTGTTTTTTCTTTAAACTCTAGAAAAATCATATTTAACACATTTATTCATTTGGAGCTAAATACTACAGTTTGGAGCATTAACTTTTAAATCATAGTTTAATAGATAATGGCAAATTTATTTATTTATTTATTTATTGGTTTTTTGAGACAGGGTCTCACTAGGTAGTTGAGTCTGACCTGGAACTCACTGTGTAGCCCAGGCTGGTCTTGAACTCACAGCGATCCTCCTGCCTCCACCTCTCGTGTGCTGGGATTATAGGTGTGCGCTACCAAGCCTGGCTTTCTCACTCTTGATTTTTAAAAGTTTAAGATTTCTGACAGCTCATGAAAATCTAACTGGTCTGGTAAACAGTTATTTCTGGAAGAGACTCAAAGGGATTATACTAGCAAATTCAAATACCATTTTCATCCCATGAAGTTACCTGAATACAGTGGTTTACTAAGATACTATTACAGTTATCTGTTTCTGCCTCTTTCTTTTTTTTTTTTTTTTTTTTTTTTTTTTTTTTTTTTTAGAACTCAGGTCTTGCACTTGCAAGGCAGGCCACCGAACCACTGAGCTAAATCCCCGGCCCTGTTTCTGGCTCTTTTGACATTAGTTTTCCCCATTTTCACAGACTTGAAATATGACTCATCTCTAATTAAAATAAGCCTCCCTGGGCCGGGGATTTAGCTCAGTTGTTCTGCCACCTGCCTTGCAAGTGGAAGGACCTGAGTTAGATCCCCAGTACCAAAAAAAAAGCTTCCCTATTCTTTCATGTTTATGTGTCTGGCATCTTTAAACAGTAATTACAAACAAATAAAAATGCCAACCTTTTGTTAAATTAAAAAAAAAGTTTTGAAGGAAAGACTATCTTCAATGCTCTAGACAGTCCCTTTAGTGATGTTTAATCCATTTCATGGATGACCGTTGATAGAGGATTTTCATCTTACGGGCATTGTCTAACCAATTTTTCTAATCCTATACCGCTAACAAAGTTAAACGCAAGCATATTCCCTCTTATTGTATGATCTCCATCATCTCTTCCAAAAGACAGCAGCTCATGCTATTTTTTTTAAGGCTGTGGGCCATTTTTTCCAGCAAGCTCAACCTTTATTCAAAGCGCAATTGACTGGATAATTATAGGCCCTCTGTCCAGTCTCAAAATTTGTTTTTTTCCAGGAGCTTCCTGTAAGTGTGGCTGGTCTCTAACGTATTTAGTGGTCACACATAGTTTTCTATCATTTTATTTGCTTATACAAAGAAATGAACTCAACTAAGCAACTCAACATATAATTCTTACTTACTAAATCACATTTTGCCTCCCAGGAAAGGTAGTAGTTTGGAAATATCATGGGCTATACAAGGTCAAAGACAGTTCAGACAAGGAATGACCAAAAAGTAAACAAATACTACTACTGCAAAGGACAAATACTTATTATATTAAAATGACCTTTTTGATTAAAAATTCAATACATGAATAATTACAGTACAATTTTCACTAAGGTCTGTATAATATGAGAACACGAACTCCCACATTCTTACAAATATTTAAATACATTTCTGTTCCTCATGAACACAAGTAGCTTTGTTGACAGAGAAATTATTTAACCCACAATTATTTTTTGACTTCACCTATGGAAAAACTTGAAGTTAAATTCACTATTCAATTTATAATGTGTTAGTGCTGATATAGTTTTTTCTCCTACAAATTTATCTTTTCATAGATTAATCACAATTGTCCTGTTGGACATGTGTTTTATAGTTGTAAGCCACTTCAAATGCTTTTTGGAAGGTTTAATATAATCATGATTGAAAATGACTAACCTTGACTAAAGCGTAAACAGATGTCTGGTTGATGTGCTAACCACCCTTCTCCAACATACATCAATCCTAGAAAACAGTAAAGTCTCATGGTCATGGCTTTCAGTATAAAATATTCATACCTATTTCAATTGCTAGAATCTAATATCTTGCTTCTGAAGATGAATCACACACACACACATGCGCACACACACACACACACACACACACACACACACCCTGTTGTAGAAATAATGTGAACTCTTTAGCTACTTTCCCCAAAGGCATCCAAACAGGTGAACAAGACTGAAAATACAATCTTGTTTCTCATTTAGTTAAAACTTTCAAGAGAAAATATTCAGAATTGCTTCAATACTCCTGTATACATAGTTACCTAAACACAGAACAAAGTAGAAAGATATGGATCAAACACAGCTGAACTTCACTCAACTCCAACTAGCTGAGTCTCTCGACAACAAAGCCTGTTCTCTTAACATTCTGGTTTCCACAGAACTTGGTAAGATTTCCTGAGCACCATGGTAATCTTTTAAGACACTAATCAAAAACATGGTCCTACATTTTAAAAACTCCAGAAGTAGCCTTGGGACAACAGAAGCACCTCAGCCACTAAAATAAGAAAATTTTTATTACAGTGTAAGTAAAATTCCCACACAGCAAATCCTCAAAACAGTTCAGCAACTAATGAATAGAAAATGGTCTGAAGTATTTCTGATTGTTCCTTTGGATCTTTCAACTGTAGTTAAAATATATGGAAAACAATTGGTTGTCAGAAGCCTTGTGACAATATAATATGTTTCTTATAAAAAAATATGGCCTGAGTCAAGCATTGAGAACTTGGACCAGATGCACAGTAATATTTCTATCACCCTGGCTGCAGGCTCCTCCTGAGCAGTGTCTAACACGGGACAAGTTTGATGAAGGTTTAATGACCTCACATAGTAAAGAGGACCGACACATTCAGTTCTCTTGGAATCAACACAATGAGATGATGAAAGATGCACTACAAATCCTTAGGTCTGAAGCTGCCATGTTTGCCGAGCAAATGGAAACAGCCCTTGCTGGCCTTCATTGGACACATCAGCAAATTCCAGTGTACTGAAGTGCATGTCACTGGGTAAACATTAAATATAATCACTTTTAATGTTTATATATGATACTAAGCTCCTAAAGGATTAGACTTATGAGAACGTAATTAGAAAACACATTTCTCATTGCTTTTTAAATACAGACTTTTCTACTGAAGTAATTAATATTTTTCCTAGTTTCTAAAATAGGCATCAGATTTCTAAACAGAAGAAAAAAGACTCAGGCATAAAGCCACATACTATGTATTCAGATAGATCTAAGAAAACTAAGTTAATGAACTAAATAAATTAACTGAAATAAATTATGAATGTACATTCAGAACAGAATTGTAGCTTTTGGTCAGCAACACATGAACTAAAGGCCAAAATCTTCCAAGATTAAGGCAGGTTGCTGTTGTGGTTGTTGTTTTTTTAAACATACAGTACAGTGTGTATTCCCTCCCACCCACCATATTCACTTTAGCATGCACTTTTATTTAAAATGCATTGCCAAGCTAAAATACAAGCTTATTAATAAAAAAAAAAGCCACAGAAAGCTTTTGTTTTCGAGTCTGCCTTATACCTATTACTAGTATTTTCTTTTTGCCTTCATACACTTGGTGTAAGAGATTATAACAATTCATACAACTAGGACCACAAAGCATGAGGAGTGTTAGGGTGATAGCCGTTGCAAGGAATTATTTTCTTCTGCTGGAGTCAATTTGAGTGTTGGCAGTTTCCGAGGAGGAAGCTGAGGGCTTTGGCGAAGATTGTCATCCATCTGCAGGAAGTACAAAAGATACATCTGACTAAGGCTGTGGCACCACTTCTGTGGATTGTGGCCTCCCTTTCCAAACTACAGCCTAGAAGAGTACAGAACCATATGTTGCCAGAACTGTCATAGAAACCTCTTCCTACAAATAATCTCTCAAGAATTTTAAGAATCATAGCACTAATACCAGTGAACTAGCTGTAGAAAACAATGTGGCTTACAATTTATAGTAATTCCACAAAATGAAAATTAACTCACTTATAGCATCACTTAGTTTTAAGGAGTCTTCTAACAAAAAGGGTAAAAGTACTAATTCTGCCACACTAAGTTCCACAGTTTATAAAGTTTATGCATCCCCAATGCTGCATTTGATCTTCCCAATACACTGACGATGACAAGGCAGACATAGTCCTTCCCTGATGTATAGATAGCAAAATAAGGCTCAGAAAAGTTAAGTGATTTGTCTCAGGTCCAAAAGCTAGTATGAGAGATGAAACTTGAACTTGAACTGCAACACAGCCTTTTGCCTCAATGAAAATGACCTGTACTCTTCAAGACCAGCTCCTTCCAGCTGATAATATGTAGACCAAAACAAGACAGACAAAGAGGCAGAAAGGACAAATTGTTTATACCTAATCCACACATCTTCCAATATTCAATCAGTTTAAGCTTACCTTAAAGAAACAAATTAATATAAGCATTTTAAGAAAATGCCCAAGAACTTCAGACTTAACTAAAGAAAGCACATTAACATCTCTAGAAATAGTAGAACAGAGATTATTTAGAACTCAGAACCTTGAAAACTACCTTTAACCAGAGTACTTCACAAAGTGCAATACTCAGATCCTGATGGTGTGTTCACTTTCAGCTTAACCTTCAGTACTTGGAAGTAACTGCCATCAAAAACACAAAAACAAGAAAAAACAGGATTCCTGTCACCTACTCAATAAGCAGGATTTTAAAAGAGTTTTACATATGTGCAGAATATTCAAAACACTTCCTTATTTTCCCAAGGTGTTCTTATAAAAAAATTTTCAGCAGAAACATACACTTGAGGAAGAGGAAAGAAATGATTTATAATTTTCCACAAGAAAAATTAACAGTGAACTGTTTAGATTAAGGTTTTTTTTCTTGCAAAACTGAGTTCCTCAAACATAACTCTTTTTTTAAGCTCTAGACTTTCTGTACAAATTGTGAAAAGTGATGGCCAACAGGATCTGCTACTACTGTCTTGTCGCAACCAGTAAACCAAACATTTCCAATGGATACACAGGGATAAATGAGAGGAGAGTGGAGGGAAAGGAAGGCTTGACTGAAATGGGTCAAAAACGCCTTCACAAACTGATGAGTTCAGGTGGATGTGCATGAAGTGGTGACAGGGCCTTTGGTTTCACTTTCTGTACAGTACGTATTTCATGGTGCCCCTTCCATATACAGTGGGAATTTGGCACGTACAGAAAATGTGAAACACATTGAATAGCAATCACCTAGTAGGCAAGTGCTCATTCTTTTATACATACTTTATACTTCATATACTTCCATCACGAGATTTACTGGACTGAGCAAAAACTTGAGATAGACTAACTCAATTCTTACCAAAATTAACACAAATTACCAAAATTCAATAATTGTGCATGCTTACAATTTTACTAGCTAGTTTTACTCACTTCTCAAATTGCAACAGATGAAAAAAACTACAAAAAGCAACAGGTGGTTATTCCAGAGAATGGCAGTGATAAGCCTGACTATTAGTACCACTAGCAATGGACACTTTCATTCACAAGCTAAGACAGCTGACCACTTGGGAGAACAGTTAGTCACAAAGCTCATGCTGGAGTCCCATTTCTATGGCTGAAGTTCACACGCCACTTTATGCCAGGTGAATGACATTAGGCAGGTGATTTAAGTTAGTCTAATAGCTTCAGTATCCACATCTGTAAAATGAGGACAAAAATAACATCCGTACAGAGCTGCTGTGAGGTTTAAATGAGGTAACTTGTATGCACCTCATATACTACAGTGCTCATCAGACCTCAAAAATATTAGCTGGTGTTGGCGAAGGGATGAAGTATTTTCATTTTTGTAAGAAAAAAGCAGGCTTATCAGACAATTGGAAAAAATGTGCAACTGTCTTGTATTTTCCCAGTTAGAATCACCCATGAAATTTCCATTGTTGACTCTTTCCCATCAAGTTCCTCAATACAGCTTTTACAAAATAAACATTCCAAAGTGGCAAAGTATGTATACTAGTGGAAAAATCTCAATTATATTTAAAACACAGGACAGGAAAGAGAAAAACTAACATAGAAAAAGATATCATGGTACTATTAAGAGGAAAGGAGAAGTGCAGAAAAAAAGAAAAACAAGAACTCGTTTTTGTTGTTTTGCAGTGCTGGGGATCAAATCTGTGGCCTTTCAAATGTTAGATAAGTACTCTATCACTGAGTTAAATACCCAGCCCTTTTTATTTTTTGGTACCAGGGATAGAACTCAGAACCTTGTGCTTGTGAGGCAGGCAGTGGAACCACTGAGCTAAATCCTGGCCACACTTTTTATTTTTTGAGACAGTTTTACTAAGTTGCCCAGGCAGGATTTGAATTTGTAATTCTCCTGCCTCAGCCTCCTGAGCAGCTGGGATTAGAGGCATGGGCCACTGTGCCAGACTTCTTGTTCTTTTTTTTTAAGTCAATCTTTTAGGCCTCTTAGCTTGATAAGTGCCAATTGTGTAGTAAAAGTGAACACAGTACCATTATCTGAACTACCCTCACAGCAATCAGGACACCACTGGTTTCAAAACATTGTACTGTATACAGCTATAGTAAAAGTATATTTAAATAACTTTTTGAAATGTAAACTCTTTAGAAAATGGAGAGGGTAAAGTTAATTTATTACCCAACACCAGCTATAGAAAGGAAAATACTATACTACTGTAAAAGAATGACTGAAGTAAACTTGACCTTTTCAATCAAGTTGGATTCCTTATTTACAAGTTGTGTGAGTTTCTGTAGATTTGCATCTATTGTTTCTTGTCCAGCTGGAGAGATTCCTAAGAAGTCAGAAAAGAAATCAGAAAGACAGGAAAATCTGAAAGTCTTTAAAGCTGTTTAGACTAAAAGAATTGTGAAACTACTCACTCTCTCAAGTGCTCACTCTCCCCCCAAAAATGTAGAGCAAAACCATTTTGGGTTCAAAAGCAAAGTTAAAAGGGACAGTAATGCTCCAGTACCAAACCCTAAACAAAAGGATTAAAGTCTCCACTGAGCAGACATCATGATCCAAGTGACACACAGCCACAGTAATTAGTAAAAAAACACAGTAGTCCGTATTTCCTTCTGAAGTTGAAATCGTACTTTCCCCTCTTGCATTTCAAGTGAATCTTTGGTGACAACTATTTGGATAGCTTTCTAAGGCACTGACTTCCTAACAGCTACCTACTGAATATTTAAAGAGACTTTAAAATGTATAGAGTTCTGGGACTTATCTATTCTAATTCATGCAGTCATGAACAGGACCCAACATTTTAAAATTTGTTGCGGAGTAAGGTTTGCTAGCAACTGCTCCAAAATAACAAGGTTAAATGATACATAGTTTCAAGGCTTTTAATCTAATCTTTCCCATGTAACGAACCATGAGACAAAAAAAAAGCCATCCATCTAAGGCACTATCCTTATAATTTAATTTCTTAAAAGGACAGTTTCAGCTAACTCTCTCAATACACCTTCAGCATTCCAGTCAGTTAACCACAAAGGCTCACAGAGAACCATGCCCTAGGCGACAGCTGCCCTCTATTTACTATACCTCCAGTCTGATGCACTCATTTTTCGAGCAGTGGAATCATGGGAGTACCTCACCAAAATCAATGTACCACTGATTTCTGTTCACGCCGGAAAATGCTAGAAGTGGCAGGTAAAAATCATTTAAGCCAATTGCCCGTTTGTATTAGGATAAATACTATCTTCCAGTGGGACTCAAAATACCTGTGGTTTAATCTTTTAGAAGAAAACCACCCACTTCAAAGTGGTAGTACTTAAAGAAGCAAGAAATATATAAAATCCAGATAAATAAATATAAATATAACATGTCTACTTATAAATAAGAACTAATGGGGAAAATGAAGCAGGAAAAATGTAACTTCGTGAAGTGTTATCAACCAGCATTAAAAGATGATGCATAAACATTTTATATTAAAATAAGTAATGAGTTTTGATTATGCATCCCAGGAGACTATGTATACATTAGCCAAGTAGAGCCAGCTTACCTCCAAGACTAAGCCTAAAGTAACTATTTAGGATGTCATCACAAAAGCGACAGAGGTTGGAAAGCTGTTTCAGATGTTCTTGTAACTGAACTTTAGGAAATCGTACTTTATAAAGAGGTGCAAGAAAACCAAACACATAGGCATCCAAGGTAGAAGGCCTAAAAATACATTAAGGATGTTTGTAAGTACACAAGAAAATATAATTTGGGGTTGTTTAATTTTTCTTTTAAATATATGTCAAGTCTGAAGTATATAATACAATGTTTTAAGGGTTTACCATCCATTTTAGTTTATAAAAACAATGTACCTAAGATTATATCTTTTTAGTAGTTTTAAAATAACAACTTATTTTATTTATAAAAAATTTATTGAAAATTATACTCATTTTTGCAAGTGCTAAATAGACTGAAGGCAGGGTGGGAACCATACTCAGTTTTTATATTCACACACATGGCATATTAAGCCAAAGTTAGATTGCCACTCAGAAAAAGTTTCCTATAATAAAAACCTATGACATTTTTTTTTTAAGTGAAAAACTCATCTTTTGGGGCACAGGAAGGACTTGCTTGAACTAACTGCTCATGGAATATATGCATACAAAGTACTAAAAATGATTTTTAAGGGAATGTACTCACGTATCTCCAAAAAAAAACTGAGATGTTCCCAATCTGTTTGATAGAAGGTTTAGGCACTCCTTGGCATCTCTGTATATCTAATAAAAGTGGAATTACATCTCAGAAGTAGAAAAGATAACAGATGCTGCTTTTGAGGCAGCATCTCTAGGTCAGTCAACCTATGCTTTGTTTCCTATCACTTCCCTGGAAAGCCCTTGCTTGGAGAATAATCCAGACCATACCTGTGCTTCTACTTCTTGGACATGATAGAGGGGAGGCTCCCCTCTGGTCAGGAGAATCCTATTCAGTGCTCCCCTAGACATCCTTCCAGGCAGGATCAAATTCAAGGGAAAAGGAATTCGTGAAGCAAACCACGGCTTTGTCACTGTAAAGTAATTGTCACTCTCTACCCAGAATGTGTGGAGCTGCAAAAGTAGAGCAAAAATATCCCAAGGATATTCTTTTATTAAAAGATTTCTCAATGTGAGAGTCTCTCATAAATGTCTTTGTATAAAGTGACTTTATATAAATTTTTTACACAAATTTTAATTAGAGTGATTTAGGATAAAATAAAATTATGTTTGTAAGTCTTCACTACATCCCAAACACCCAGAACAAGACCTAGCACCAGCACATAGTAGATACACAGTAAATACTTTCTTAGTATATGATTTACAGTTTAACCAATTTTATACACTGTGAAAAAGGTTTCCATTTTATTTCCAAAACGAGATTCTTTCATTTTTATATATCACATACTGGTTGAATGTCTAATATAATGCAGTAAGACAGTAATATAAAAAAATAAAGATTAATATGCAAACTTCCCACTCTTAAATCTTTTCATTGCTTCCCTTCTAAAGTATATTTTCTATTAAGTCACTAAAATACTCTAGTATTCATGAATGCTCACCACAGCAGGGAGAAGTTTCTCTTCAAGGAGAGCAATGTAAGCCAGTGTATCTGCCCCTTGTTTTGCTGAAAGTTCATAATCAGCATTGTATTTCTATTAAAGACAAAACCAAAGCACTTCAGTAGTCAAATAATATCTTGAGGACAGTGAAGCTAAATAATGGCAAATGTGACATTAAAAGTGGGAAATACAAGCCCACCGAAAACTGTTGCTCAATGCACATAAGGATCTTAGCATCACATCATGCACATAATCAATGTGATTTTAAAATTAACTTATTGCTTCAATTTTCGTTAATGGACTAGTTAAGACTACAGCATGTAGTACAAAGTTAACAAATACTGTAAAAGTGATTGTTATTTTTAAAAAGGAAAAAAAAATTTCCATTGGTTGCATTTTTAACCATGAAAAAAGGAAACTTAATTTAGACAATTCACAAATTGTACTGACACAGACCATTTGTTTAAAAAGAAGTGGCAAAACCAAGTGTAACTTTGCACTCATACAAATCTCTATATGTTTAAACATTTGGGATACTTCTAAGTAAATATGTATCAAACATTTTGGAAATATTTCAACAAACATGACAAAAATAAATAGTTGCTACTTGGTGGGACTTTCCTGTCACACCCAGCAAGAAATGTGTAACAACTATGTGACTGAACTGGCAATGCTATCAATAAGTGAAATAGTGCAAATACCTAAATTGAATTTTCTTATAAATTTCAATAAAATCCAAGCAAAGTGCATAAAAGTCTATATTAAAAGTACATGAAAGTCTATACCTCACCATATGACTTCCAAATCACAGTAAAATTCATGTTTTTTCAGGTAGTGATTCTCAAGTCTATTTTTCATCAGATTCCAGGCATTTCCAATTGTATGAGTTGCAAAACAATAAAAAACAAACTCTACCTTATACTGTTTTTTTTACATGCAGAAATCAGTAATACACTTCTTCAAAAGGAATCACCCACCTGTTTTCTTAAAAAGTTTAGTATTTTTGCAGGCTGAGAAACAATGTTGTTGTCAGTAGTCAAAATTGGCACATCGCCTATAATTAAAAAAACATTAAAATACAAGGCACATTGTGATTTCCCTATAGAGATTTCAATACACTAAAAGCTATACCAATCGCGCATTTGGAGGGGGAAAAATGACTAAGCACGTCTTTAATTTTTTCAATATCACAAGGTTCTAGAGAACACTTTCATTTCTTAAAATTTCCACTGATTTGGCTCGCAATTTGGGCTATTAGAGTGATCAAAGTATAAGCGACATATATCCAAGGTCACGGTAAGAAGAAAATAAATCCCCAAGGTGCTGTAGGGCTGGCTATAGGTTTCGTGGGTGTAAATGGAATTGGGGGAAGAGCAGAAAGGGATGTCTGAAGTTTACACTGTACCTCTTGAACCTCTCCAGGTGTTATCTATGACATTGACTTTCAAGGGTGCACCAGAGAATTTGGCATAAGCCTGAAATAGAGTTTGCAACAACACATTTTAAAGTGAATACGTAATACAAGTCTTCAGTGCAGCTTTACTTCAGTCCCGTTCTCTAAACGCAGAAGTCTCCTGACACCTGGGCGAGGGAGCTGGCTTTTCGGGACATTGTCCCCCAAAGGTCCCGGAGACTCGCAACCCGGAAAGCTTTTATTTCACCGCACAGATAGCTTTTCAAAGTTGAGGAACTCGGGGCCGAGCAGAGAAGCCAAGATGCTTCCGCTGTGGCCCCGGGGTCACAGGCCAGCTGTGACTCATTGAGAAAAGGCGCACACAGAAGTGCAGCGAACCGAGCCCGTCTGCCGCAACACGCCCAGCCAGTGTCCTCAGGCCTTGCCTCGGGCCCGCCCTTCTCCCCGCCCTTCTCCCCGCCCCCCTGCAGGCGGGGCGGCCTCACCATCACCACCAGAGACTCGCTGTGTACCGATGGGAGACCCCAGCCGCCACCCCAGCAGCTGAGCTCCAAGGGAGCCGCCATCTTGCCGAGGCCGACCTTTATACCCGGAAGTACTTACTCGCCCACTTTCCGGCACGTGAAGCGCGGGGCGGGGGTGGGGGGAACGGGCGGAAGGAAGGTGCGGGGCTCTAAGAGATGTGGAAAGGGCGGTAGAGGTAGTGGCTTGCTGAGCAGCTAGTTTGGGGGTTAAGCTTCCTGGGACCTAAAGGAGGCGGACCCGCCAGTCATTCCTCAGATATATATTGGATGCCTACTATGTGTCAAATTCTGTGTACTTTACCAGGAGAAGGCTTACTCTCTAAGTAAATAAGGGTTTTGTTTACGGGATTGTGTTTAAAATGACATGGTGCAATGGACTTGGCAGGTAGTTGGCGCTCAACTCTACCTGTCTTTCTGGTCTCAGGCCAAGTAGCATCTAAGTTCATTTGCTCCAGCCTCTTTGAAAGTATACCTGTTCCTGAAATTTAGCAAGTGAATTCTGCCGCCTTCACTGTTACACCTTCCATCTGGAATGTCTTTCTTCCCTGTTCAACTGCTCCCTCAAAAATTAACTTAATTTTCACTTTGCTTGGAATAACTATGCAAAGGTAGGAGCAGCTTCCTCTTCTTTCTTGGAGCTCCTTGTATGTACCTTTATTGTAGATTTTTTATAGTCGCTGACCTTTTGCCTTTCACTGTACAAAAGCTTTTTGAGACAGAATTGGACTAGCTTTGGAGGATGGATGTGAGGTGAATGCAGTTACACAAGGCCTTGTGCTTAGAAGAGCTTCTCAGCTAATGCTCTGCTGACACCACCTTGAAATCTTTATTTATTTGTTTATTTATTTTTTGGTAGCAGGGGTCAAACTTGGGACCTTGCGCTTCAGAGGCAAGCGTGAAATCTTAATTATTGAACAAGGGGTTATGGTCCTGGTGGGCATAGACTGGTTTCTTGAAAATTAAACCTGACAGTTTCTCAGAAAACTCACTAAAGAATGAAGATAGGACTTGGAAATGCCGTGATTCAGGTAAATTTACTGGTTCTTAGAGTTAGGACTGGTTTACTGAGTCTTGTTTCTGAATGGGGCAATAATCTTTACGGGATCCTTAAGTTATGCTCTGAGTTCACTTCCTTTTTGATGTCCTTCTAAGATAGATGAGTTTCCCTTAAACAACTGAAAGCTCAAAAGAAATTACAGATTTTCACAAAATAACTTCAAGTATTTTCTAGCACTCTTACTGTTTACATAGCTGTCAAAATTACAATGTCAGTTGCTAGTCTTTCATGGTGAAAATAAAGAGTTCTTAGTAATGGGAAGGAAAAGATACAAACTTGAAAAGCCATTAGTACTTTATAGTTGTATATGCTTAGCATATTTTTGATAGTACAACATTTATTGGTACATTCTAGGTATACGTAATGGTAACACTTATAGGGAATTTGCATCTGTACATGGTACATTGCACCCCCTTTTCACCATCCCCCTTCTCATGTACAAAAGCTGTTTCCATTTTACTTTCACTTTTTTTCTTGTTCCTTCCTTTCTCCCACCTTTCTCCCTTATTCCTCTTTGCATTTGAACATTTTTTCCCATTTCCCAATATCTATTATACATTTTAATCTTTATTTCTACTTTGGGTTTCTCACACCAGAGAATGTGGTATTCAAATGTGTGTTCAATTTATTATGGGCTCAGCTCCATCGATTTAGCTATAAATGTCTGAAGCTCATCCTTCTTTATGGTAGAGTAGTATTTCATTGTATAAAAGAAACCACATCATCTTCATTCATTAGTTGATGGGCATTTGGGCTATTTCCAAGAATTAGCTATTACAAACTGTGCCACTATAATCATGGGTATGCATATATTGCTCAGGTATGATATTTTTAATTCTTTTGGGAGGATCCTAAGAGGAGGAATAGCTTGGTCAAATGCAACCTCTAGTTTTAATTTTTTGAGGAATCACACTGATTTTCACAGTGGTTGCACCAGTCTGCATTTCTGCCAACAGTGGAGAAGAGTTCTTTTTTCCCCATAGTCCTTCCATTTGTTATTAGTTGATTTCTTCCTTTGCTCGCGCTCTCTCTCTCTCTCTCTCTGTCTCTCTCTCTCTTTGCAGGACTGGGGATTCAACTCAGGACCTTGTGCTTGCAAGGCAGGTGCCACACCACTGAGCTAAATCCCTGGACCTATTAGTTGATTTCTTGATAGCAGCCATTCTTTCTGGAGTGAGGTGGGATCACACTATTGTTTTAACTTGCATTTCATCAATGGCCAGTGATGGTGAACATTTTTTCATATATTTATTTGCTGTTTTGACTTCTTCATCTGAGGAATGTTTTTTCATTTGAGATTAGCATATTACAATTAAACCTAAATAACAGGTTTACTGAGCAGCTACTACATCTAAGACACTGTAAGGCTCTGAGAGAATGCAGACATTTAAGACATGAATTCTTTCCTCCTGAGTCTACAAAGGAAAATATACATAGCTAGGTATAATGGATCATTTGTTATGACTAAGTTTAGAAATGTAAATAAAATACTAAAGAAATATGAAAGAGAGACAATCCTAAATTGGACAAGTAGAGAGAATCTGTTTATATTGAAGAATATAAAGAAGGTACAGTAGTTCGACTTTCAGTAATAGAACCACCCTGTTTTGAGAATTAAATCCCAAGCCATAAAGCTCAGAGTCTGGTATTGTACTTAGGCATTTAAAATAATCACACATATTTCACAGAGCTAGAGAAAGCAATCAAAAAATTCATTTGAAACTAGAATGAACTAGCAAAGCCATTCTAGGCAACAGAGACATGACAGGGGGTATCACAATCTCTAACTTGAAACTATAGTACAAAGCCACTGTGATAAAAACAGCATGATACTGGCAAAGAAACAGACCTGAGGATCAGTGGAATAGATTTCAGGATGCAGAAACAACTCCAGATGTACTCAACTACCTCATCTTTGACAAAGGAGCCAACCATCCTCAGTGGAGGAAAGATAGTCTCTTCAATAAAATGTGTTGGAAAAACTGCCAAAGATTAAAACTAGACCCTTATTTATCACCATGCACTAAACTAAAATTGAAGGGGATTAAAGACCTAAATATTAAAACAGAAACATTAAACTTGCTGGAAATAGGTAGAACTCTCAAAGACATTGGCATAGGACACAACTTTATGAACAAATCTTCATTTGCATGGGAACTAGCACAAAAACTCAACAACTTGCATCTCATCTTATTAAAAAGCTTTTGCACTGCAAGAGAAACCACCAACAGAACTAAGAGACAGCCCGCAATGTGGGAAAATTTTTTTATCAGCTGCTCCTCAGATAAAGGTGTGCTATCTAGAATATATAAAGAATTAAAAAAAAACAGATCCCCCAAATATAAAGACCTGATTAAAAAATGGTCATCTGAAAAGAACAGACATTTCTCAGACAAACAAGTAACAGCAGCAAATAAATATATGAAAAGTTCACATCACTGGTCATTTGAGAGATACAGATGAAAACAACACTGAGAGTCCACTTCACCCCAGAAAGAATAGCTGCTATCAAGAAATCAATAACAAATACTGGTGGAGCTTTGAGGAGAAAAGAAACTTCCATTGTTGGTGGGAGTACAGACTGGTGCAACCACTGTGGAAATCATAATGGAGATACCTCAAAGAACTGGGATTCGAGGTCCCATTTGACCCAGCCATCCCTCGGCTGGGTAACTTTCCAAAAGAATTAAAAGAATCATAGCACAGTGATATATGCGCACATATGTTTATAGCAGCACAGTTTGTAATAGCTAAAACTTGGAAACAACCCAAATGCCCATCAGTTGGAGACTTGATAAAGAAGATGTGGTTTTTCTATAAAATGGAGTACTACTCATCCATAAAGAATGAAACACTAGAGTCATTTATAGGTAAATGGATGCATATTGAGGCCATACTCAAGTGAAATAAATAGGACACACATGTATGAATATCAAGTAATTTCTCTGGTATGAAAAACTCAAAGAGTAAATAAGGTTCAAATTGTATAATTGGTAATATGAAATAGGAAGAAGAGATCTAAAGGAGCATGGGAAGTGGGAAGGGTATAGGGAAGGAAAGAAGGGAAAACAAAAATATGAGAAAAGGAAAAAATGGAAACAAAGTGTTTGTAAATAGGGAAGGGTGGAGCACGTTAAGGGAGGGCATGGGTATGGAGTAAAAATAAGCAAGATAAATCATGTAGCCAGGTGTTTTGGTGCATACCTGTAATCCCAGCACTTGGGAGCCTGAGGCAGGAGGATCTCTGTGAGTTCGAGATCAGCCTGGGCTACATAGTGCGTCTCAACTACATAGTGAGACCCTGCCTCAAAAAAACAGAAAAAAAAAATACATCATGTAAAGATAGAAGATCCCAATGATGGATGTAACTGTACTGTATACCTAAAAAGTACCAATAAACTTAGTGAAAAAATAATCATACATGCAGAATGTAGATTCCCTGAGTCTTGTTTGTAAAAGGAATGGTAGGGATTGGGGATGTGGTGAATGAACATAATTATTCAGTGCGGTCTGTTCCCTTACTGGTATCACTGCACATTTCTATGATGATTTTGTTTGCATAAAAGAGAAATTACATTTCTTCCTTTAGTGTTGAACTGAGGCACAAAATAGAGTTTCAGTGTATCCAATGAGAGTATCCTTACATACAGGTTTATTTGTGCCTAGTTAATAGCAATCTTTTATTGCTGTAATTCCTCTTGAGAGTGTCTATCCACTAGATTGAATTTTAAAACCCTGGCATAGCTTGGTCTCACAACCACGCTGAATACTGTTACAGAGAACCACACTGAAAGCTGAACCTTCTGAAAAATTATGCCTGGTATGGATACTTGGCTCTTATGCCTTTTTTCTGGCTGCGAAAGAGTATTGTTCAGAGTTCATAATAATCATAATTTCAGATTCTTACCAGGAAGGTTACTGTCTGCAAAACATTCATGTATGTGTGGGATGGCTTGAATCACAGCTTTATAATGAGTATTCCAGACAGTGTTTTCCCTATAAAAGAAATCTCATTTTTCAAAAAATA